CGAATGGCGTTGGCGACGCTGATGTTTGAAAACCTGAAGAAGGGGTCCGTACAGTTCGAAAAGAAGTTGAAAGAAGTCGTGCCCTCTGCTGAAGGAGAGGGAAAGTACGATCTGCACTTCTCAGACGGCACGAAAGAGTCTGGATTCGATCTTGTGGTCGGGGGAGATGGCGCATGGTCCAAGGTTCGCAAACTTCTCACCGACCAAATGCCACAGTACTCAGGTATAGCTTCTATCGCAGTGAGCTGCAAAGACATCAAGGCCGATCCCTGGCTGCTTGACTACGTCGGCTCGGGCTCGATGTTCGCATTTGGGGAGGGTTGCGCGGTGCAGTCCCAACGGCAAGGCGACGGTAGCCTAGGGACATACGCCAGCGTGCATGCACCGGAGGATTTCCTGCAGACCTGTGGTATCGATTGGGACAACAAAGCGACGGCGCGCAACACTTTTGTCGACCACTACCTCTCTCATATCCACGATGACCTCAAGCGTGTTGTCATGTCTTCTGATGAAGACAGTCTCATTCCTCGCAAACTTTACGAGCTGCCAGTTGGATTCCGCTGGCCATCTCGCTCAGGCGTTACTCTCATCGGCGACGCTGCGCATGTCTTCACACCGTTTGCTGGACTAGGAGTCAACACGGGCATGAAAGACGCGTTGGTATTGGGGAAGGAGATTGTCAAAGTGTGCCGTGGAGAGAAATCTCTGGATGCTGCTGTGAAGGACTACGAGGAGGAAATGTTTCCACGGTCCACAAAAGCGGCAGTCAAAACGGTAAAGGGGAAAGAGGGGCATTTCAGTCGAGATGGAGCTAAGCATTTTGCCGATATGATCAGATCGAAGTACTACAGGCAGGGTGAGGTCGTTGCGAAGTAGGGAGGTGGGAGTCCAGACTCTGGGGGTGGATCAGAATACTGGGTCGTAGTGATGTTCTCGAAGAAGTCCTGTAAGAATTGGATCTACATTACGGTAATTCATGGCATAACAATACATACTCGACTCACTGCAATTCTGAAGTTGTATGCAAATCCATAAGTGTATAACCTTACCATTCTCGGGTTGTAAGTTGAGGATCGGAGGAAGCTGTAGGAATACCAACGATGCGACGAATGATGGAGCTTGCCTCCTACATATTCCAGCTTGAATGGTCGCTGATTGGCAAAAGAGTGCCTATAGCTATAGGACAGAAGGCTGTCAGCGCGGGTACAGAGTGGTCGCCTGACTTGTTGTTCAATCGCTCGGCACCGAGTTATGTAGCCAATGCCAACCAGGCACCCAAGGCTCTCAGCGCTTGGTACAACTGAATACGCGCCATTGTAATTGCGATGGATCGCCGCTCGCAAAGTTGACATACACACCGTATTCATGCGCACGAAAAAAACCCACTTGTCCACATCTATGTTTAGTAGCTCGCGGGTGTCTGTCTGCCGACGAACACGGCATCGTCAAGCGGAGAGTTTAGTGATGTCCATCAATAGCGGTGGGCGCGGTAATAACGCGCCGGCCGGTCTTGAGTCGTGAGAAGAAAGGGGCACGCACCAACATCCACCACCGCCTGAACTTCCACCCCAACCCTTCGATGCGGCTTTCGGCCAATTAAAGAACGCCCGGTAGGTAGAACCCTGCACAAGTCGTTCTGTACCTGCATGGTGGCGCAAGCTGTGCCCTTGCTCTACTACGAGCTGCACAAAGATTAGCCGTTCGCGATTGCTACTTGTGATTGCTGATATGCGCGTTGCCGTGGATTTGATGAGGATGGAACCATCCGATGGGTCCTAATTAGCGACACGAGGAGGGTCTTACCAAAACGGTTATCGGGCACATGGCAGCTAAGAGAAATGCAACAAGTGGCTATGCTGCGATAGAGTTCACTCGTTCCCCGGCGGAGTTGGCGCAAAGACTTGGTGTGGTGTTTGTTGCCGTGACGCTCTCTCCTGCGCGGGAGGGTTGCTCAGGGTGAAAGTAGGCTAGCCCTATCCCGACCTAGACTGGACCCACCCTCGACCTAACACGACAATTATACCCCAGACTCATTTCCGCTCGGAGCACATCACGATCTCAATAGAGCCGTAGGATGGCGCCCATGCCGTTCTTGTACAACAATGATCACGCCAATTTCCAGGACCCCTAACCTAACGCCTTAGAGGCAGTTCTCCACCAACTGGTGCTCACAGGCCATGGCACATAGGTCAAAACCGCTGTGTTCCCCAAGGTTTCCTTCTTTTTCTCACTACGCAAGGCTTTCAAGTTACGCATCACCAGCCTCGTTGACAAGCACCCTTGGCCTTTGTGCCCCGTCACTCATTACACACTTTACTTAATATTACCCGCTTCACTCGCTCAGCGGACGATCACCACTACCCCTAGCCACCCCAAACCACGTAAACAAGTTCAAGATGCGTTACTCTTACGTTGCAGCTGCCCTCGTTGGGTCTGCTGTTGCCGCGCAGCACAAGGCTCATGCTGGATTCCACATGCGCCGTGGAGCTTATGCTCCCGAGGAGGTTTGCACTGTCTACACCACCGTCTACGAAACCGCAAGTATGTGAAACCCATGTCAGAAGGGGCCGTGAACGAAGAAGCACAGTCATGGCCAGAATCTTACAGTGACTAACATGATCCAGTGCCCTCCATGGCTCCCAACTCCACCATGCCCGCCGTCCCAACTTCCGTCCATGCGGAGACCGCCTCCACCTCCTGCACTGAGGAGGGAAAGACTTCCATGTACACTCCCGTCGTTCCGGCTCCCTCCAGCCCGGCTCCTGTAGTACCCGGATCTTCCATGCCCGGCTACCCTGCGGTTCCCGAGTCCAGCATGCCCGCGATGCCTGAGTCTTCCAAGCCCGCGATGCCTGAGGTGCCCATGTCCTCTACACCTGCGTACCCCGCAGTTCCAGAGTCCTCCAAGCCAGCTGTTCCCGCTGTCCCGGAGTCTTCCACCACCTGCACTGAGGAGGAGGGCATGACTTCCTCCATGGAGGCCCCCAAGCCCACTAGTCCGGCTCCCGTCCCAGAGCACTCCACCCCAGCTGTCCCCGCTGTCCCGGAGACCTCCACCACCTGCACTGAGGAGGAGGGAAAGCCCACTGGCCCTGCCCCGGTCCCAGAGAACTCCAAGCCCGCTTACCCCTCTGTCCCTGAGGTTACTAAGCCCGCTGTTCCTGAGGTTCCCGAGACCACCAAGCCCGCGGTCCCTGAGGTCCCTGCTCCCTCCAAGCCGGCTTACCCCACCGTTCCTGAGGTCTCCAAGCCTGCTGTTCCTGAGGTTCCCGAGGCGTCCAAGCCTGCCTACACCCCTGAGGTCCCTGCTTCCTCCAAGGAGGCTGAGAAGCCCAAGCCCACTCCCAGCGCCACCCACGGCTCTGACAAGCCCAAGCCCACCGGCAGCTACAACAACGGTGAGCACATCAAGACCAACGGCGACAAGTGGGCCATTACCTACACTCCCTACGCCAACGACGGTAACTGCAGGACCGCCGACGAGATTGCTGCCGACATCAAGAAGATCTCTGAGCTCGGTTTCACCACCATTCGCTCATACAGCACTGACTGCGGTGTCTTCGAGCACGTTGTCCCTGAGTGCACCAAGTACGGACTCAAGGTCATCTACGGCATCTTCCTCGAGGCCGGTGGCAAGGCCGGAAAGGGTCCCTTCTCCAGCTACGCCAACGACCAGTTGAACGACATCAAGGAGAACGCCCCCAAGGACTCTGTCGCCATGGTCATTGTTGGAAACGAGTGCGTCTTCAACGGTAACTGCGAGGTCAGCGAGCTTGGTTCCTACCTCGACTACGTCCGTGATGAGCTCCGTGGCGCCGGCTTCCCCTCTGACATCGCCATCACCACCACCGAGACTGTTGGCTCGTGGGAGACGATTGGTGATGCTCTCTGCGACCACATCGACATCTTCACCGTCCAGATTCACCCCTACTTCACCCAGTCCGTCACCGCTGACATGGCTGGTGACTTCGCTGCTCAGCAACTCGAGCAAGCCGCCAAGGTCTGCCCCGAGGCCGCTGCCAAGGGCAAGTTCATCACTGAGATCGGCTGGCCCAGCGCTGGTACCTCCAACGGCAAGGCTGTTGCCGGTGTCCAGGAGCAGAAGACTGCCATGAAGAAGATTCTCGAGAGCGTCGGTCCCGAGTCCTGCGTTTTCTCCTTCGCAAACGACGGCTGGAAGGCGCCCGGTGACCTCAATGTTGAGCAGAACTTTGGCTGCGTCGACGCCCTCCTCGACGGACTTAACATCTCCATCGATGTCTCTTTGTAGAGTCCCTATGATGTAGCCCGTAGCTCTTTTGTCAATCACGTTTAGCTACGTTATGCGTTCACGTCTTGCATCTGTCTTCATTCTGACCATACTATGTTTACTGCAAGTCGATAGCGAAGGTGGCTTGGAGGTAGTTTTTAGTGTTTAATCTATTTGCCAACAAATAGCAATATCCTGTTCAAACAAGCTTTGGTATGTGCACAATGTTCCCGGTCGTGAAATCACTCATGTTGTGGGTCCGTGGAGGTTGCTAATCTTCTAGGTGGGACGCAATTTAGACGTGGCATGCCAGGCATGGATCCTGCGACAATGCCGGAGATCAGGCGGTGCGAATCCCACTCCCGTAGTTGAACATAGAGAAGCAAGCCTGACGAGAGATGTCACCGACAGCATTGTCTACAGAAGTGGGTAGGCCGTTTGCGGGGTTGCTGTGCCGCATGAGCACAGACCATGCCCTGCAGGTGCAGGCACCAAGATCTCTGCATCCGAACCAGACTTCCGCGAATAGACATCTGTGTTACCAGTTGTTTCTCTCTTCCGTGAACATTCCATCAACAGGAAGTTCTTTCAGCAGTAATCGCTATCGCTGCTTGCGCTGGACAACCGAACATCGACAACGTGATCAACAATGGCAACCACCATCCCGGGCTTCCTCAGGCTACCACTCGAAATCCGCCAGCATATATACCACTATCTTCTCGCGCAAAGTTTCCAGAGTCGAATAATCAATATGAGCGTCCGACAGCGACACAGTGGCTACAAACTTCAGGGTCTTGAAAGCATCCAAGGCCTTGTATTCGTCAGCCGCATCTTCCATGACGAGCTTCTCAACTACTGCTTCAGCCGTTTCAACTTCTTCCTCCACAACGGATCAGAGTCCATACGCTGGGTGGCACGAGAATTCTATCGCCAAATCGGAGTCGAGAACAGGAAGCTGGTCAAATACATCACTATTCCCAGCTTCAGTATCGATCTTGTAATGATGAATCCAGACAATATGGTTACGGTCTTCGCCGTTCACAAAGCTTTCTGCCTGGAGCTTCTGGATGATATGCAGCGTGTTTTTGCCCTTCTGGCACGCTTCCCAGCATTGGAAGAACTCGATCTGGGTATTGACAGTCTGGAGGCAGTGCGTCTGACTGATCGCATGCATTGCAAGATACCACCGCCATCTACGTCGAGAGCTGATTTGAGAAGAGAGCGTGGATTGATGTACGCGACTGATATCAGGGACGCTCTGCAAGAAGCAAGGTTTCTACCGGCAAGGGTGACTATCGGTATCTGGTGGACGACGATAGGTCAGGATAGAACTGAACTAAGAACGGATGAGGAAATTCGGCAAGACCAGGAAGACTTTCTGCATCGAGCACGAGAAGACATTATGCCTGTCCGAGTAATATGTAAAGGCGTCATGTAAATAACCAGCGACTCTGGAGGTCTTTAGTCTGGTCCTCGTGATTTAAACAATGAAATTTAACATAAGACAGAGCTGTAGCATTCAACATTAGCGGTCAGTCTCGTCTACTTCTGGTATTCCTCGCATGAGAACTTCATTATATACGAAAGCTCAAGAACTAAGACTGGATACCTAGCTACCCCCAAACGCTATTGTCAGCGCATGTGAAGGAGCCTTCGACAGGAACGAGAGGATCATGGTACGCAGCTACAAGCTGCTCAATGGAAGCCCATAGACCGACACCGTTCGCAAACAAAGTCAAGCCGATGATGGTCCAGTTTAGAACAGCCAGACACGTCTTCTTCCAATCGCGGAACTGAACGTCCCAGTTGAGGTAGAGCCACATAACTCCGGAAATCCCAAAGGTAAACCAAGAGACGAAGAGCGCGGCCGATACCGACAGGATGGAATGGAAGAGTGGTATCGCGTTTGCGAGGAGGAATACAAGAGTCCAGAAGGTGGCGCCAATACCGAGCCACATTACCCAGGTCTGCCTGGTGTTTTGGCTGTACTCGCTCTCTCTGCCCATGAAGCGTAACCACTCGATGAACATGTATCTGATCGATGTATGGCCAAACACCAGCGATGTTCCAAGTAGCGTAGGTAGGAGAAGACCATATGCGATCTTAGCTATCATCATAGGTGCTGCGCCGAGCGCCGGACTGGTTGTGTATTCTCCAGCCAATACATAGACGACTGTTCCAACGATCGTGTACATGGGAATTGCGAAGCCCTGTAGAATGAACACGGAAGGCATGAAGTCTTTTGACGGGTCTTGCATCTCTGCCATCACTGTAACGAACGCCTGATTGCCGGCATATGCGAAAGCGATATTAAGAACGGAGGTAAAACCTTGCGCAAAGGTAGGATGACCAACTAGCACAACTTCCTTTTCCCATCCTGGTGGCGCACCGTTAGGTCCAGCGATACCAAGTGCAACCATGACGATGATAGTCGCAGCAAGGATTGAGATAGTGCAAGGGACTGCGACACATTAGCGTTTCTCGTGACAAACCAGGAGCTAGACTTACTGCCAAAATCCGCCAGAAACTTCATGCGTCTGGGCATACACAGAACGCAAGAAACGATAGTAGGAACCAGAATGAACAAGATGGTGCACATGGCATGCTCCGAGATGCTGTTAAGCGCGATGCTCATAGTGATGACGGCGGATGAGCAAGCAAAGAGCTGATTCAGTACGAAGCCAATGCCGACGATAGTAGATAGAGGGGTACCGCCGATGATTCTGAAACAGTCGACGCAACTCAAGACCGAAGGGTATCTCCTGAAGAACTGGAGCAGGACGTATGCCGTATACATGACCGTGATGCCTACCAGAACTCATGTTAGCAAATAGCTTATAGTGTCCATTCTTCTGGTCTCTAACCTACCTAGCCCGATAATGCAGATAATTCCTGGGATTAACCCGAGAGTTTGCAACGCCGCAGGCAAACCCAATATACCTATGCCTACCTGATTCGTGATGTAGATCAGCGATGCCTGCCATTTGTTCAGCTTATTGCCTGAAATAGCCCGTCCTGCAATGTCGAGAATGTCACTTCGTTCATCCTTGTTGCTGCCCTCGTCGGCCTTCTCGCTATCATGTGGTGGTAAAGTGGCGGCCTGGGGTACTCCAGCATGTGCCATGTCACAACTGTCATTTTGATCGCGGTGTCCGTGTTCGGTCGTCTCGCATTGGTCTCGCATATTTGGCCCTGATATTATCATCTTGCCTCGCCTTTCTTAGAACGGATAGATAGATGTAATGAAAGAAGCGGAGAGGAAGCTGGTGGGTGATGAAAGCAAATCATGGCGGTTACGGTATCACGGCAAGCGTCGTTGATAGCATGTTCCGACGCAGGGAAAATATGGAACCAGATATGCAGTGCATTCAACGAGAGAAATTGGTCTGTTGTTACGGACGTTACCCCAAAGTCCGGTGTTGCATTTGCCAGGTCGCCAGACTGTCGATCGACAGCGCACGCGAAGTTGTAGTATGTCTCTGCAAATGAGGCCTTTAGAAGATCAGTGAAGGTAGCTGAAAGATCCTCTAGTCTCTTTGGAGGTTGATGTTGATGTAATAATGTTGATGGGTGGTACCTAGGCATGGCCCCGGGGTCGGTTCGGGCTATTTTCCAGGGTTCGGTGACGTCATGCCAGTCGCGGAATGGGAAAGCCGACGCAACACCATCGATTCAGTGCACTCTTCTTTCAATCTCAACAGTAGTACACAATTATATGAATCTATTCGTAATGATATCAAGGTTCCAGTCGCCTTACTTTTCGCGTTGAGATCGTCAGAAATTCGCACACCTGGGCAGCCTCCGCGTCAAACTGCAGCCAAAGACTCGCCTTCCCTCTCTGCCATACACACTTATGGTTGTCGCATGGGTCAGGGAGACCATAGCTGTAGGTATCTCTCTTTACACCCAGTGATTAGGCTGTTCAATCGGGCTGACAGCGTCGAATTGAGTTCCAGGCTCTGAAGGTACGACGGAGATTGGCTGATGTTCAGCAGCCTCATTACCGGAGCTGTCGGATCTGCGGGCGACTTCCTCAGTGCTGGTCGTCTCTTCTGATATCGAGTGCGTGGTATCACTGATTTGAGCAGTCGACATCTTCGCTCCGTCCGCCAAACATGGACGGCCAGTTTGGTTGTCGCGAAGTGACCACGCCATGCCTCCAGTAGCAGTATGCTGAACTCCAACAAGGACAAGCGGCAGTCCATCCTTGTCGTTCTCTTGGTACAACTCCTTGTCAGACTTGACGATGCGGTTCTCGGAGTTCCTCTCGAAGAGAGCAGCCGCTAATCCGGGAACACCAAGCCGCGTCCTGACTTGATGAACGTCCTGATCTGCTGCCATCCAAGCCATGACGGCGAGGCCAATTCCAAGAGCGGCGAAGAACAGATTTGCCAGAACCAGCAGCCAGACAGCAGCGACAGGCGCTCTAGTCATAATCTTCCTGGCTCTTGTCTGCACTAGAATACTGTCTGCCGGCACCGTATGCACGAGTAAAGGAAGGGCGAAAAGGGTGCTCATTCCAAGTTCCAAGCCTGAGATCCACTGTCCCAAGGATACTGGAGGATTGATATACCGCGAAACGCTGTATTTTAAGTCCCCCAGGAAACCCATGTAGTCGACAGAGGGAAGAATTGAGATACCCGCCACGGTAGAGTTACTCTCATGGGCATCCAACCTTTTGATTACCCCACCAGTAGCACTATATGTGACATCGTAGACTGGAAAGATCTATTAGGTGAAGAACAACGACAGAGTAGTATTCTTTAGTAGCGGGTACTTACCTGTTGAGTTACATGCAACAACCATTATGTAATTCCTGTACGCGGGCTCCATCAGCCAGGCCTTGCCATTCATGTCTCTTGGTAATTCGTCCAAATTGATGTCTAAATCCAGAGCAGCGGCTGCGGTCCATCTCCACGTGCTTGGGAACATCTGAGCACTCTCCAGTTTTGTTATGTTTGGTATAATGAATTCCTCCTCGTTTTTAGGGGTAAATTTGAGTCCTTCACTCCTAGTGAATGTCCCGCTTTCGCTTAAGTGCTTGTGGAAATCAAAAAAGATGTATGAGAATGCGTTGCCTATGAAGCTCCCTGAGAAATCGATCGGCGAGCCGCGAGCGATGGAGCAGTCGAAGGGCACTATTGTTGTTCCAAGGTCAGTAGTTACATTCGAGTTCACCTGGATATCGCAGGCGGTAGCAGGTATAGGCGCACACTGGGACGAAATGGCGTACGATGTGGCCTGCCAGTCTGCTTCGGAGGGCGATATCGTTGGACCAACAACCGCGTATTGGCTTCCAGTCTCCTCAGTAAAGTTCATGATGCCTTTCCCATAGCCTTCGTCTACCATTGCGAGAAATTCGGTCTTGTTTGTAAGTCTGAACCTAGACTCTTCGTCGTCTATGTGTGTCGTCAAACCGCAACCCCAGAAGTTTTTGTTCTGCACGGTACCGACGGTTTCGCTATCATCAAGGCACCATGGATCAATTCTCCTGCCGTAATGATGCTGAGCAGGATCTTGAGGGAAAACCTGAACTAACTCTGTTGCTTCGGTCGCTATGTGGAGATAGCCGTCTGCTGCATGCACAAGAACACTGGGAATCTTAGTACGGACTTAAGTCTAATGAATTGCATGCGTACCTCGCGAGCACAGCTAGACATAGAACGAATATCGATGCTCGTAGTACCGTTGGTTTCGTAGCTCGCCCGGGTGATCCGCTTTTCGTGCCGCGCCGAAAGGACCACCGTCGCCATGGCCGGGATAGTTCCCACAGAGACAGGTAATCCGCATTCAGAAGTCGGACTAAAAGGCTAGTCTCATAAGATGTAGGAAGACATCTGCTCTGGTCCTGCGACACGGAAGCTTCCGTAAGCCGGCGCGCGACGCAATAGGCGTAGATCGACATAAGGGCGCTCACGAGAGCGAAGCTAACGGTGGACGACCAAGAAGATACGAACACGAGGCGAGTAGCCGGATAGTCGACGTAGTAGTGAGACGCCTTGGTGACATTGATAAGCGGAGACTGTGGGCATATCTCGCTATAGGGACAGTCCAGATCACTTGCTAGATTGTGAAAGACTAGCACAAGGATCACGACAGTGAACGTGATCATCGGAACGACAACGATGGACGAAGCCAAGAGTATGTGTTTCGTATGGGGTTGTAAAGTGAATGAAGGCATGTTGATGAGGGTAACTGTTCAGGCAAGATGACTCCGAGTGGCTTTGGTCTCTCCAAAAGATAAGAGAGTTCTACTGATTTTATGTAGCGAAAGACATGGAGTGATGTATCTTGAGAGAAGAGTTCTGTACCGCTTTACTGGGCTGGGAAAGGAATAAGCCGAGGTGTGATACGCTTCGACTTCGCCTTGCCAAGGATGACTTGATCGACATCTGGGCACAATTCATGTGAGGCCATGTAAGGTGTTTGACCAATGGAGCGCGAGACCGTTAAGGAATTCAGATTCGACGTCGTGCAAATGTTAGCACGCGGGGGCTGCGCGCTTCGTTATCGAGCAACAAGCTGGGCCTCGGGGATGTGCGAGTGGCGCAGCCCATTTTCCATGTAGGTACATTTTAGCCATATTGAGGCTGCCCCGGGAATCTTCTTTCTGGAACGTTGGCCAATACACTGTTAGCTTCAAAACGGAGGAGACGAAGGCGGTATCCAGTAGGAATCTTTGAAGTTGTTGAGGCGCAAATTAGAACTGGGCTATGCCTTCAAGGCCCCCACAACTCTGCGATGCTGTGGAACGAGAGTATCGCGTTTGGGACAAGATATGTTGAAAGGTCTGCTATCAGTGAGAACGCACGTCCAGGGGTTTTCGGGGCCGCTTCTTCCAGAGCAATATCGCGACAGTCAGCACTAGGGTTGGGGGTCGAGATCGAACGGCAAGCCCAATGGCCGCCCTTAACAGGTTGCAGCAGTATGCCGTGGCATGCGCACGATGCTTTTTGAACAGGAAATAGAGACATATGAGTGCGTATTTATAACTTTACCTCTTAGCAGCTACAACTTATCAAGGTTAGATCGGACTATCTTCCTGAGTCTGGTGACGTCATGCCCGTTGCGGCTGCGGAATCGGGAAGCCGTCGCAACATTATCAATCTCGTGCACTTTCCTTTCGTTTTCAACGGCAGTAGACACCTAACCTCATGATTCTGATCGTGTGACAGCCAAGGTGTGACTTTCTCACGACTGAATCCGAGCGTCACGACATGCGTTCAGGAGAAGAGACATTGGGTCCAGTGTCAAGAAGCCTACACGAACAGAACCGACTTTTCGCATTGATCGTATCGAGACAGTCGTCGTACCGGAAATACCTCCAAATGATTGGACTTTCGTGCCAGACTTGTACCACTCGTAATGTAGACGACGAAAGCCACGAATACACCGCCCTCCAATCGACGCAACCGCTATCCAAGTACCAAAACCCGGGACAGCGCACTAACCCCTAGATAGTCTCAACTACAACTGAGGCGTCAGCAAATATTTCTCGAAGCTTGGATAACAGTCGCTGGTATTCCATACCATTGCGGTGGCGTAACTACACTGCCTAGGCATTACAGGTACACCGGCAAGTCTCCCAGCCCAACCAACACCCTCCGCGATCTTGATACCAACCGACCGAACGAGGGCAGCATCGCTTACCACCTGCAGCATTCAAGCAGCGATTCAGACAGTCCCTTCCCCAGTTGCGCTCACAGCCTCCGCCCTCCCAGCTGATGCGTCGGCCAGGACAAGCTTGAGCAGCGGTAGAGTCAGGAGTTTCGGCGGGGATCGCGATAGTCGCGGCGGAGACCGTGAGAAAGGTAGTGAGAAATGGGAGGATATGCATCTTCGGGAAGTGTTCAAGTTGATGTTGGGAGGAACAGTAGAACAGTAAAACAGTAACAACGATCTGAAGCATGCAGATGCTGCCTTGGGGATTTATATAGACGTCTCATCTCGGCAACAGACAACTATACCAAGGCGTCCATCTGATCATGAGATAGATGCCAAGCGGTGTGTTACTCTCAGGGTGGTATCTCACTTCGTAAATCTTACGGTGTGGGAACACAGGATGTCACTCTCTAGACAGATCAGTGGCTCTGAAAAGCGGGGTTGGAAGCCATATATGGTCTTCTGCAACGATTGTTACCCGTCGAGCGGCTACGGGCGTTGCAGATGTACTTTTAGTTGCTAGATACAACCAACAGGCTATATGTATGCCCTTCCAGGCTTGCCGTTTCTGCAACCCAATTTATGGAATCTGTGTACTCGCAATTCCATTGATGTAGTCGCCACAATAGGTGATGAGCTAGACGACTGAGCCGTGAAAGGTAGCCGAGGATCTCCTGGCGTGGTTTAGGTATTATCAATCAGACAGAATCACATAAACGTATTCTGCAATGCACACCGATCGATCCACTCTGTACACTCTTACTATCTTCTTAATACCTCCATGTAAAACCCCACACACATGCCATCCCACCCATCTACCTCCTCCCAAACTTCTTCTTCCCAACAACCGGTCTCTTAACCACGCCCTCCCCATCCTTCTCTTTCTTCTTCACCACCCCCTTCTTCTGAACCACAGGCCCATTCTCCTCCTCCGCAATCCTCCTATCCTCGTTCGCCTTGTCCACCGCCATCTGCGCCTCCAGCTCAGCTTTCCTGTTGAACTCCGTTTCCATGATACGCTTGTCCCGCGCGGAATACCCTTTCTCTTTGATGCTGTAGAAGACCGCGCCCATGTCTGCGAGCCAGTGTGGATCCACGGATGTGACACAGGACATGTATTCTTTACTTGTGAGGATGAGTTCGTGGTATACGACATAATCGGGCAAGTAGCCCAGACCGTACAGTGCAGATGTGGGGTGGAGTTGGATGGTGACGCTAGTGCGCAGGTTGATGTACTCGCCTATACCTTTCACTTTGGCGGCTTGGTGGTAGTAGCCTGAGCAGATGCATTTGCGTATTACGTCCCAATCGGTGCCGCAGGAGACGAGCTTCATCTTCTGCTTGGACATGATGTCGTAGATCTGGTCGCGGATTTCCTTTGCGCGGCGCAGCGCTTTGGGGTGCAGGAAGTGGCGGATGCACCAGCCGTCGGAGTAGCCGTTGACTTTCCATTGCGTGTATACGTGTAGGAGGGTGAGGTGGTCAGATTCTGGGACGAAAAACTTCTCGCGCGCGGCGTCGGATTCTTCTTGGCGCTCTTTGGGTCGGTAGAAGACTGAGGGGACCGAGAGCATGGCGACGATCGTAAGCATCTCTTCGCTGCATTCCATTTCTGTGGCCGTGATGATAAGTTTGGCGAGCGAGGGATCCATGGGGAAGGCAGTCATGGTACGGCCGAGTTCGGTGAGGTTGCCGATGTTGTCGAGGGCGCCGAGGGCCCAGAGGTCGAAGAGAGAGGTTGTTATTGTGTCTTGGGGTGGCGGATCCATGAAGTCGAAGTCTAGCAGATCTCGCACGCCGAGGGACTTGAGGAGAAGGACCGTGTTGGCGAGATTTGTTCGTTGGATCTCTGGGATGGTCTGAATGTAGAATTCATCCCTGAAAGCTCTCTCGGTGTACAAATGGAAACACTTTCCAGGTCCAGTACGTCCAGCGCGACCAGCACGTTGAGAGGCATTGGCCTGTGAGATGGGTGTGATCTGGAGCGTGTCCATGCCCATCTTCGGGTTGTAAACCTTGAGCTTAGAAAATCCAGCATCCACCACATACATGATGCCGTCCACCGTCAAACTCGTTTCTGCAATGTTGGTGGCCACGATGACCTTGCGTACGCCGGGGGCTGCTCTGTCGAAGATCTTTGCTTGCAGATCAGCAGGCATCTGACTGTAGATTGGAAGAATGCTGAGTTTTGGCGGGTCGTTGAGAAGTTTCAGCCTTTCAGCCACCAGTTCACATGTGATTTCAATGTCTTCCTGACCCGTCATGAAGACCAGAATGTCGCCAGGCCCCTGGGAGACATGTATGGCGAGCACCTGCTTGACTGCGCTATCGACATAGTCCTCGCATGGGGACCGCGAGTATTGGATGTCAACGGGAAATGTTCGCCCTGGAATTATGAACTCGGGAGCTCCTCCGTAGAAGCGCGAGAATCGTTCCGAGTTCATGGTAGCTGATGTGACGATCAACTTGAGGTCTCTTCTACGTGCCAGCACTTTTTTGAGAAGTCCCATCAGTACGTCGGTGTTCAAAGCTCTCTCGTGGGCCTCGTCCATGATGATGCAGGAGTATTTGTCGAGGTCCGGTTCTACCAATGACTCTCGGAGTAACACACCATCCGTCATGTACTTGATCTTGGTCTCCTTGCTGGTGCAGTCTTCGAAACGAATGGCATATCCGACCTGTCCACC